TCTAGAAGCCCAGAGATGGGATGATTCTGGCCGAATAACCACAGTTGATCGCATGTTAATATACTGATTATCTCCCTCATTGGATGATTTTTCCTTCCTAGCTCTTTGTCGTCCTTGTACACACTCATCTTCCATCACAATTCACAACCCCTTGTACGGATTAGTGGTAAACAAGTCAGCGTCCTTGTAAACATTTTCAGTTGCTTAAATTGAGTAATACTTATGACCAGATGTTCTTGAAATAGTTTGTTTCTTCATATGACTTGACATTCACATTAGAAAACAAAGACTTTTTTTTTCTCTCTTTTATTGTGCATTGTGATTCTCTTAGCAAATTCCTATTTCAAGTCTGCAGCTGTTCAATGTTTGCAAAATCATATCGAATTCATCCTGTGTGTAGGGAAGGTATACAATTGTTTTAGACAATATAACCTTTTTTTAATAAAATATGTCCTGTTGTTGTTGCCCTTGGAATCACAATTTTGAGCACACTTCAGGGAATACCTAACTAGAGAGCAAAGAATACTGAGTTGTTTGCCAGGAAATCAGAATTTGAATTGCTTCAAGTCTAGCTTGAGAGCCTAGGGTAGAATGTTGTGGTGAGGCTGTCTGAGGTGAAGGGCTATGGGGCTGACACGTGCCTGACATGGAGGAAGCTGCATTGTTCAGGAGTCAAGTAGAAATCATGAAGGAGGAAGAGAGGAAGCCAAAGAGGTCAAGCCCTCCAAGCTATGCTAAGTGTCACGTCAGAGAGACTGTAAACAGGAAAATGAGCCAAGCTTCGAAGCTGGGAAGTGAGAGAATAGTCTTGGGAGTGGGGAACAAGCTAGGATGGGCCAAAAGGTTCAGGATAGATGTTATAAACTGTTAATGGTGGCAAGGAACGTTTCCCATGATGCTGCTGTGCCCAGGACTTGCGGTGGCGGCCGTGGTGGAGGGTGTCACTGACTGGATGCTGAACCAGCTAATCACTAGAATTCTGTCATTCTCTAACACAGTTTGGGATAGTGTCCTTTCTTGGATCACACTGCCCAGCAGATGGAGGTTTCGGTTAAGATTACAACCATCAGATTGAACTTCTTAAAACACTAATTTTATCATATCCCTTTCTTGCTCAAAACCTTTCTCCTCCCTTTAGTCTGTATAGGTTGATGTTCAAACTCTTTAAACCTATGTATATTAAGGCTTCCATTTGCTAAACATAAAATACGTCCCAAGATCATTAACTTTATGACTTCTCCCTCACTCTTCACAACAATTCTATACCGTAGGTGATGGTATGTAGGTTTTATGGAGGAAGGCATGACCCAAAGCTCATAAAAGTTAACTAATTTGCCCCCAAATCACATAACCAAGTGGAAGAACAAGAATCTTGAACCCAGGTCAGCTTTATTCATAAGTGTGAGTTCTTACAGAAAAACTGCGGCTGCACTGCCCTGCAGAATCAGGACTCGATACCTTCATGACAGTGTCGACAACAGACAATCCTGGAGTCTCCAGCCTGAGAAACCAGTCACCAGCTTCTGCTGCCTGGGAACATTTCCAGCCTTGAGTGCCTTCTTAAGCTTATCCCAAACCTTTAATGCTTCGGGTTAAGTTTTATGATCCCTTTTAGAGCTAGCTAGTGGCACAACGGTTAAGTGC